CAAATTTATTGAAGTTGGATGTTTTACCAATCACTGTTGTTTTCTTCCTAAGTTTATAATAGTCCATAACAAAATATCTTTGAAAATCACATACATGACATACGTACTTTATCAAAATCCCAGACAAATGTTGGGTCCTGCTGATTCAACCTAATCGCCTACATATTTTAGTTAGCATCTTACTAATAGAGTCAGAATTGATGTTCAGAATATTGACCTTAAAAAAAAGGAATACTATAATAATACTACCAATCACTTTTTCAGCATTCATTATATTGCAGGCAGCATGCCTGATATGTTACATATATTCTCTCTAATTAATCTAAAAAATAATTACTACCTTCTATACCCACATATTAAATAACAGATACAGAATTCATACTTAGGTGTTTGGTTTCTTTCGTCTTAAAAAATAAATTGAATTAATATTGAAATTCTTACGTTAACCAGAATTTTTACTTAACCACATTTTCTCAGTTGCATTGTTCCTCCCTCCCTTACTCAATAGTGTTGGCTAATTGCAGCTTGCCCATCTGGAAGGTGAGCATGCAGAGATATCAAAGACCTTTCTTCTCTTTAAAAACATATCACAGTTCTCATTTTTCATTCTTTTAATGTTTCTTTAAATTGAATTTTCTTCATTGATAACAGTCAATGTCTTCACTAGGAAAACTCTATGCTTTTGAATACATTTAGGATATATGTATGGAGCAATTTTATGAAAGACAAAATACAAAATATAGGATTTGATTTTGTTTCTCTGTTTTCTAACTTTCTATATATCTATATAGGATATGCCCCTTCTCTGTTGAAAATGCTGCCATTTAACTCATACCATCAAATTAATTCACAGCTTTCATCTCTTGCACATAATATGAAGTCGTGAGTGGTACATATTGATTCCCAGAAACTTAAGCTATGTGAAAGAGCTTCTATGCTAGATCTCTGTCTGTAGCTTCTAAATGAAATACATATATATTTCCTTTTGAAATAGTTATCTAATTTTCACTGCCTACCATATGTTTAGAACTATCCCTTAATGATTAAATTAAATGTTTAGATTTAGTTATTTTATCTAACACACTTTCTTTTCCATGCCACAGTATGTTTCAAAGCAGTCTATGTAACAAATAAAATGAATACAGAAAGAAGGCATTGGGTTTATTTAGTGCCTTGCAACTCTTCATTTTCTTGATATGTTGCATTACAAAAAGGTTTCTTTGATTGTTCAGTAAAACAAACCACATAACAATTTGTTTCTTGATGTGGATCAATTGCATATTGATTATGTTATGGCTTTCATTGGCAGCTGTTTCTGGAGTGGGTTAGATATATATTAAGCTCTTGGGTGCTAGAATGCCACTATTTTATCAGACACGATCAATGATTTCTCACAATGAACATTTGAATCTGACAGATATTAATAAAAAAAAATTATGCTCTTTAAAAAACAAAAGAATATAAAAAACATTTGGCAAGAAATATGATAAATGCCCATAATGAAAATCAAAGATCATAAACCACACAATATTACTGTGGAGAACAGACAGCTGTGAGGAATAAAATGTCATGCAGTGAAAGTTGGTAAAGTTAAAATGAGAATATAAAAACAAATAAACTGTGCTCAAATGGAAAAAGAAAACATCTCATTTTTCAATGTCAAGTGTGGACCCCTAACCAGATGTGCAACCAGCAATTTTATGCCAAGGGCAAGCACTAAACATTTATTTTATCCAACCCCGTCTGGTACCCTCCTGGCTTTAGGACACCCCTCCTGTGCTGCTCATGCTTTTGCTCTATTTATAATCCATGGGCTTCCTGTGTCAGGTTACCTGCCTTCTGCGTCAGCAGAGGATTGCAATCACAGCAAAAAATGCTAAGAAGTCATTCTGGGCTGGAAGATGTTCTCAGTATTTCATTCACTGCTGAGTCTTTGGCCCCTGAGTTATTTCTAAGGGCTTGCATCATGCAAAATGGCACCAAATTTTTTTTAAAAAAGTTATTTTACATCTCATAGAATGTCCAGTATTTAAATGGCATATTATTTTTATAAAAGCTGTCAAATTCTAAAACCAATCTGAAGTGTCCTCTATAACCTATGAAATTCCAGACGAGTACTGGGATGCGCCGCAAAGCCCCTCTCCAGGGCTAGTATGTGGAATCCCATGACGTCACACATTCACTGCTGGTTTTACCCATGCTGAGTGCTTTGGAAGGTCACGAATGTTATACTTGGTTCACAGCATGGACCTACCAAACCTACATAAGGAGCATAAATGAACTCAGGCACATCTGCGATACAGTTAATGTCTCAGTTTTCACTATTTTCAAATATTTTAAGTAAAATTAATTTTTACTACTTTTATGTAAAACCATATTTTGCAAATTAATAAAATTAAGAAAAAATCATGATGCAACTGAATATAAGCTACATTTTTTATATTCAGTACCATGAGGAAAGTAACTACTATTTATCAAATTAGTGCCAGTCGAAATTCTTATTTGCAAGCCATGAAAACTTACTCTGGATATCTTAAGTTAGTTTTATTGGAAGGCAAAAGAATGACATGAAGTTAGAAGGAAGGATCAGGTAATTTGGACAAACCAAGGTGGTTTGCCGTAGACATACGCTGACCAACGTCTGCTGCTGCTGGAGGGAGACATCTCTGCTAGAGCCCCCATGGTGACATCTAGTCTGTCCTTTTCATTGTATCTTTCACTCCATAATCCATGGTCAATAGATTGCCTGAGCCCATCTCACATGTATTTGTCTAGCTGTCAAAGGAGAGGGAAAAATAGGAGTCTCTCCCCTTAAAATTTCACTGTGGTAGGTGAGAAACTTAATATGTGACTGGCAGCTAAAATAACATATCAGAAATGTACACAGGCTACTTAGATTTTTTTCTTTAACCAAAAATTCTTCAAATTTTATAAAAAAGTTGAATGACTCCTGCATTCCTTTTAATGGGTTATGGTAAGTTCAGTCTCAGAAACAGGACATACAATGTTGAAATCCTTTCAAACTGTGCACTCTTGAATTTTTCCTATAACCTTGGGCAAATTACTAAATCTATTTCCTGCTTTATTTATCTACAGTAATGCCCATACATTTTATCTTCCTTAAAAAGATTTTATTAAAATCACTGATGATACTAATTAAAATATAGACATCCTCAAAAGAGATTGTTCAATTTTTTAGTCAACGTTTAATTTTACTGTTACATGTCCAATCAGTCCAACTGATCCTATTTAATTGCATTAGTAAGAAATCTAAAATGCAATATGCCTGTATGTGTCCATACTTCCTCTATAAATGTCACACAACAGGCATTTATGCTGAAAGATGTGTGGCCATTAAGTGCATAGTTTCACATAACTTATATAGCTTTTCAACAGTGAGGAATGTGTCCTACCATGAGAATACCCACACTTTTGCATGGAATAAAATGAACCTGGTTTTCCATTTCCTTGGAAAAAAAAAAGCATTACTAGATAACCGGAGGCAGAGATGTTTGCATTTGAAAACAAGCCTCCATTGAAAACTAGGACTGGGAAATTATTTCTGATGACCTTTCTCATCTCACTTTGCTTCTTGGCCAAGTCCATGAAAGATCAGAGGAAAAGTTACAGAGATGCCTATGTTATGTACCTTCTTTCAACATTAACCCTGTTCTCTATGAACCACATTGTAGTGGGGATGCTGGGAAGGATGTCAGATGGCCTGTCATTGTGTTCTAATGTAAGGAGTCAACTCTAATAAAAATCAAACCAATGTTCATAACAAGTAGGGTCCCCTGTGACTTATCTTAGGTAAAACATCTACACTGCTTACAAGTAAAGTAAATGCACCTCTAAGGAACAGAGGGGAGATTAGGACCATCTATTATTATAAACAATCAGGATTTTCTATTTCAGTGGCTATATATTAGTGTAAACGATTTCAGCAGATTACCTCCTGTGAGATTTATTTTTAAGATTAAAATTATTGATTTTTCTCACTACCTCATCAGTGTTACTTAGAAAAATCTCATCTGATAATAAGGCCGTGCCTATATAATGCCAAATATTCAGATGCAAGCTGATCATTACTTGGATAGTTGATTTCACAAAAATATGTGATACTTGACTGAGATTTTGAAAGATTTTTATGCAGATATTTGAAATAATAAAAGTTGTGTGGTAACTTCATACAAAATAAGAATCCCTTGCTATACTTTGAGTATGTGGATAATAAAGTCTGATACATTGCTGTTTGTACAACACCTTGAATGCAAAGTCATTTACTTTTGAAGATAATTATTGAAAACAGTAAAATTTAAAACACTAAATTATATTATATAAATCCTTTTTCTTTCTAAAAACACTAGTGGTTGTTTTTTTCTTGAAATGATAATCTTTATTTTGGTAAACTTTTTAAGGCCAAACACATTAAGCATATATGTGAAATCACTGAAACACAGCTTTGTGCACCGTCATCTCATTTCTATTTCACTGTGGTCTGATCACATGTCATATTTTAAATGAATTTGGTTACATGGAATTTGGAAGTAGTAACTGAGATATAATGGCATACTATAAAACCACAGGTGCTTCAAGCATTTTGTTTCCATGTGTTGTCACTTAAAGTGCCCCTATTTTAGCTGAGGTCAAATGTGGAAAACATATTAACATCACGCAGTAAATTTAATATCATCTTCCCCTGAGAGTGATTTTAAAGTACCCATAACATAAATTATGTCTACAATATTCCATTTAAAAACCATTTATTAATTTTTATTTTTATGGGACAAATTATTATTTTTTAAACCAAGAGAAAACTGGAGTCAATTGAGATAAAGAACAGAGAAGAATGTTGAGTTGGAGAAACTTAGGGCAGAGGTGACAGTAACTTCCTTCTCTAGTCCAGTAAAAAAATATACTCTTGGTCATACCTTAGTGAATCTCTTGTCATAATTTAATTTCAGTTTTCATGGCATATATGAATATCTGGGGGTCATTACCTGAGTGGTGTGACTCTCTCTATGTCTCTGAAATGTTGAGGTCGCTGTCCCACTCACGGACAACCTGGAGAATCCCTCTTCTTCAGGTAAACCTATTGAGGTCAACACAAAGTAGTTAAGTTGTGTGTTCTGTCCTTGAATAAAATAGTTGTGTATTTATTGTAATAAACTACAATTGTTATATTTTATGGATTGAAATAATCATCAGTTATACATTAATTGAATAATAATTTTCTAAGAAAATACAGGAAAACAAAGAATTGCTGCATTTCCATTTAATAAAAGAAAAACATGCTGGCAAAAGAGATAAAATGATAATGAAGAAATATGTCATCACAGAACAAAAGTGAGCAAAATTCAGCAAAGATGTATTGGAGGAAAGAAGGGAAACTTTTCTAGAAACTGAAAATTGTTTGATGAAACAATGGGGGAAAGAGAAGTATATGGACAAAGAAAAGTAAATGAGTTCCTTGAGTTGCTACAGAAGACAGAGTTTGTATTTCATTTGTGAGGTGGCAGGGATGCAAAAAAGGGATTAGCAGACATATAAGACACAATCAAGTGTCAGATGAATTCCATAGACTATATTTTATTTTACATACAAATGGAGGGAAGAGATTGGATGGAATTTTATGAGGAAAACATCCAGGTAGCTGCCCATCCACAATAGATCAATTCATAACCAACTATATAGAATGAACGGTGAATTTGAGGAAATTGCCATCAACCCCAAGTAATACAGAAGTACTTCTGAGGCACCAAAGGATTTTATTAATTATAGCTCATTACTGAAGCAGAACTGCAGACACTTTGGGCTCTATAATTCTCTGCTGTGGGTGCTGTCCTATGCATCATGGTATTTTAGCAGCATCCCTGGTCTGTACCCTAGAAGCCTGTAGCACCTCCCCAGTGTGACAACCAAAAATGTCCCTAGAAATTACCAAACATCCCCTGGGAAGCAAAATCATCCCTGGCTGAGAATTATCATGAAAGAGGGATCAATATAATCACAAGTGACTTATTAATGAAAATGAATAGATTAAAAAATAACTACCCAGTGGAATGAGTTCAACCCAGAGAACTTCAAATTCTGAAGTGATTGCTACTCTCATCTGAAATCTTAATGAGCCAGTATGGTGTAATTGATTACACATATACATGATTCCTAAATTAAAATGATTAGAAAATCACTATACACTTTTTCCAATTACAGCAGAGAGTTAGTTGCTCAGGGAAGTTCACAAAACCCTACCATCGCATAACAAGGCTTCTCAACTGATCTTCCTGTTATGTATACAAATACTCTGTAGAGAAAGGTTAGCTTCATTGAGAATGGGCAGACTAGGGCTAGCACCTGAAAAATGACACACCTATGGATAGGGCGGTGTCATGTGCTAGAGACTGGGTCACACCATAAGCAATAGCAAAGTCTTCAGCTGGCTAGGGAAACATTGTATTAGAAATTGTGGTAGTAGGTGTGGGAAAGCACTGTTAGAGTGATATGAAATCCAAACAGGTGGAAGTAAGAATGGAAATCCAAGATTGGGCACAAGCTGGAATTCCAGGCAACTAGATCAGCAGATAGTTGGCAATATGTCCAGGAGCAGGGCACAGCAAAGGGTTTGGGACTTATGTGAAGGAGGGGTGTCAAAGGTGGGGGGGGGGAGAGTAGAGTGACAAGCAAGACAAATGTCTACTTCTAGAGAATATGGTTCACTGGACGTTTTACTGAAACCAGGAATCTGAGGCAGGAGAAGAAAATTGTGATCCATTTTTCAAAACTACATTATAAGTTCGAAGTTTACTCTCTGAATCAAAGCAGAAATTCTGTTTAGTGAGGATATGCACCCTGAGCCAAACCAATAGCATAATGTGCTTTATATAGCGTCAATTAAATCAAGTTAAGAAATATTTATGGTCAGCACTGGAAAATACAATGAAGAATAAAGCAATGCCTCTGCTCCTGGGAAGCTCCAAGCGAATGGGAACGACCCTTAACCAGAGCACAGAACAGAGCGACTTGAGGGGTGAGTAGGAGTAAGGGTAACCCTGAGCGGGAAAAAGCAGGGATCTATTCTACCTGAAGGGATCAGAAGAAACATGATTTTGGAGATGCCAAAGGATCTAGGCCTTCTAGGGTGAGAAGGATTTGGAAAGGTGAAGAGGACAGTCAAGAACAAATGAGATAAAGCAATAAAATGTGAGGAGACTGCTTCACATTTGGGGGAGTGGCATGCAAGGAACTGATGTAATACTGAACGTCAACTGAGAGAGAGAGAGAGAGAGAGGGAGGGAGGGAGAGAGAGAGTATGAGCAGAGGAGGGAACCTGAAGGATGTGTTGGAAGGTAGAACAGGTCAGATATTAAAGAACTTTACACAACATTTCACAAAACGTGACAATATTTTGTAGGTAATGTGTAGAACTGAGGATTTCTGAGAGGGGGTGCGACACCACTTTACCTAAGTGGTAAGTTAAAAGGCACTTCTTACCATTGACTAAAGAAATCATTGACCTCAGAAGCTGTGGCAGGGTCAACAGGACAGAGACAGATGGCTTCAGTTTGCGCAAGGTGAGTATGTGGGAACAGAGCCAGGTGATGACAGGGGCAGTAGGTAGAAGAGAGGGGTGCCAGGAAGCCCTGTGAACAGTCTCCGCTGTGAAGCGGGAGGTGAGGAGGGCGCCTGGAATGAGGAGTATGGAGGGAGGAAATCCTTGACAGTTGTAGCAAATAGGTGACAGAACCTCGTTATGGCTAATATACTAAGAGAGTGTGCACTAGATAAAGTGAAGTAATTGCAAAGTACTGAGGTACAGAGGAGTCAGAGGGCAGGATTTTTTATTTTTTTTAACCAACACGGTATTTTTTGTTGCTGCCATATTGAAAGCAGTACTTTTTTAAGGCAAATGATCTACAAATGTCACCACAGGCACAGACCATGAAGGAAAAAATAATGGATGAATGCTTTCATTCTAACATTAAAAATATATGTGTCAACAATATCATAAAAATAAGATGTAAGTTAAAAAGAACAATATAGAACATTTAAATAACTAAATTAAAGGCTTCATCTTAAAGAATCCTACAAGTCAAAATAAAGGTCTTATCCTTAGATTTTAAAATATGGGCAAAGAATATGTATAGAAAATTTGAGTGAATATAAATGACCACAAAACAATCAACATGCTCATTTTCATTATGTATTCAAAGATATGCACATAAGACTACAATAACTTACTCATTTTACCTACCAAAATAGCAAATACTTCAAAACTTTTAATTGTATAAATTTCAAACACATATAAAAGTAAAGGGAATAGGTAAATTCCATTTATTCATCAACAAGCTTTGGAATTTTCATTATTTTAATCTTGCTTCATCTACTCATATTTTTAAAAAAAATTTCCAGAAATTAAAAAAATTTCCAGTCATTTCAAGTGTAATTTCTTGAGTATGTGTTCCTAACTGATAAGGATAGGGTGGTTTTTTTCTGTTTGTTGTTTTGTTTGTTTTTTCCCTTCATTTTTTAACATAGCAAGAATTTCCTCATGCAGCTAAGGAGAACATGGGCTCCAGAAAAGCCCCAAAGTCTTGGGGGTAGAAAATTCAACTGTGTGTCCCAACAGAGTTGAAGGTTCCAGTGTTGGGGGTACATATAAGGTTAATCTGGAGCCACTTACTTGTTGACTTCCATTAGAAGGTAGGTTTCCATCACAGAATGATTTTCACACATATTTATGAACCTGCTCTAGTTGTCTCATGGCCACAACCTTCTCCCTAGATCAGGCTCTGAGAGGATAATTTTCCCAGTTTAAACAGTTTTATGCCCCTTCCTCAACATCTTCTTTCTAAGGCAGCAAAAGTGTGCCTCAAAGTGCTAAACATGTCTGTTCAATACGAAACCTTCATTTTAAAAAGCTACAGTTGCCCAAATTATAAGCAACAGCTAAGGTCTCCTGAAACTCTACCCATGTCGCCTAACCTGCCTCCCACCAACAACAAACCAGCTCTTCTGCTCTGAGAAAGCATGCTCAGGCTTGGGGGCAGGCACTCCCCACACTCTGATCTGACCCTCATAATCGATACCAACACTCCACAGAATGCGCTGCCCTCCACTGAAGCTTGACCGAGGGGCCATCAGAAGTCGTCAGCCTAGTCGTTGATCCAGTAGTCAGGTAAGGGGAAGGGGGCTCTGCACTCCTCCTTCTGCAGTGGGTGCTACTCAGAACTTTGTAAATCCAACCTTCCCTAGGGTGCTCAGGACAAATGTATTTTAGGGCATTCTCATCAGTTATGATGTGGATTCAGCCCCTTGAGATTTGTAAAGTGGTTTTGAAAAAATCTGAGACAATGAGGTCATGAGGTCTACATGCAGAGCCCAATGGGTTTATTTAAGGTCTTCTAAGAAGAGAAGAATGGAAAAGACTGTAAAGGGCGGTGTGACACTGAATTTTATATATTTAACCAGTTAGAATCATCTAGTCAAATTCCCTGTCATTTTATAGGAATCCAAATATGTTTAGTCAACAGCAATAAATAGGGTTTGCATTCTCTTCTCATGTCTTTCATGATCTTTAACTCCATCCCTCTCTTGGTTTCTATGAAATTGGACATTTATGTTCTCTTTGACCACCTATTCTGTCTGCCCTTCTCAAGGTATATTTTTCAAAGTTTGGCACTCTGCATGGCTTTGTGGTCAGATACCTTTTTATCTCATTTCTCTTCATACTTTTTTCTCAGAGGCTATAAACCATCTCCATTTCTCAAGCTTCCTTCAAAATTTGCCTTTCCTATCTTTCCATCTTGGAATCCTTGCCTAAACTCCAAAACTATAATCATCATTTCTGTAACAATCATCTACAGCCAGAAGTCCTTCTTAGCTCTTGAACTCCAAATCCTACCCACAGAATTAATGTTTTCTTAGAACTTCCTTTCTTCTCTGTTAAACAGTGCAGTATTCTCCACCTTTACTATCAAGTTCTTGGAGTCATCCTTCAATCTTTTTTTCTTTCCTCCAGTACATTCTCTAAAACTCTTGCTGGGTATAAATAGCCTGGGAAGCATTGAGTGGAAAAACACAAAGTTGGTACTC